GGGTGGGTGGTCGGGGGTGGGGTGGGGATCGGGGGTGGGGGGAAGGGGCAGGGGCAACAGTTAACAGAGAGGAAGCTGGGAGCTATCCTGGAACCCTCCAGCTGGTGTGACTGAGGCAGGAGCTCCCACCACCTCCTCACCCCTGCCACCTTCTTGCCAGCTTCTTGGGGTCCCTCTAGGGAAATCCTTGCTCTGGGGGCAGTCACGTCCCTTTCATACTGTCACCTCCATGGAGGCGATGCTGGTTTGGGAGTATTTCCCCACTGGAGCCACCAAAAGGAAGGAGCCGGAAAGCCCCTTCCTGGGGCTACACCGTGGAGGGCAGCCAGGCCCAGGAAGGGGAGCACCAGACCCTTTGATTTACCCCTGGCGAAGTCCCAGCTGGAAGGGACTTGAAACAGTGGGGCAGAGGGAAAGCCAGGTGGGGGAGGGGAGGGCAAAGCGAGGGGAAGAGGGGGCAGATGGAGAGAGGCCGGGGGAGAAGGGGAGGAGAGACCTAGTTGCAGGTGACAGGGGAACCGTCCTCCGAGATGCAGGGCCTCAGCTTTATAAAGAAATACTTGGGAGCAAAATATCTCTTCCCAAGAGGATTCTGGGGGCAGGATCCCGCCAGACACCAGAGCAGGCACCTGAGCTCTCCCACCGAGCCTGCCTTCCCCTTCCATCCGCTGGCCAGCCGGCCCTGAGCAGGAGCTTCAACTCCAGTTTCCTGCTAGGGAAGGAAAGGCGTGGACTTTCCCCAGAGATTCTCGGGAGTCGGCCAGACTAGCTCTGGACTTTAAGAAAAGGGGGTTGCCTGAGAGCCACTGCTCCTTCCAACAGCATCAAAAACCAAGAGTGGGTTCTGGAGGCAGCTGTGTCCTCCCTAGAAGCCTTCCTGATTTGAACCGAACCCGCCCCACCGAAGTGTAGGAAGGCAGCACACGCCCACATAATTGAATGGAAGAATGAGGGGTCTTCTATGTGTTGTCTGAACTCTCCCCAGGGGAGGCGCGAGGGCAGCTCAGAGCACCCCTTGCTCATTCTGTCTTTGCGACATGACGTGGTCATTTCAAGGCCCCCTCGGATTTCCACTCACTGCTCTGGCGCAGACCTGGACTCGGAAGCATTGCCCAGGCAATCACAGACCGTCAACCTCATGAAGAAAGCGTTCATTTATAACGACAATGATAGGTGGAGAGGTGGGGCCTTCCAAAGAGGACTGGAGTCCCGGCAAGGACATCTGCTGAGCTTGTTTTAGGTCCTTGTTTTTCAATGTGTTGCACTATTTTAAGATGTGTGTTCATAACGTGTGTGGCCTCAGGCCAGCGAAGGATGGAGCAGATGGACCCTAGGACACACTTGAGTGTGTGTGAGGCCCCATGTCCGCCGGACCGTGTCCTTCCTTCTCTGGGCTCCGTGCAGGGCCTGCAGGTGCCAGTCCAGCCTCTGAGCAGGGCTCGGCAGGTAGCAGGGCAGGGTGTACCAAGGACCTGACCTCCAGGCTGGCAGGAGCACCCTTCGGGATTCCAGAGGCGT